ATAGTGAGCAAGTGAGCAAAAAAGAACAAGTGAGCTATAGTGAGCAAGTGAGCAAAAAAGAACAAGTGAGCTAGTGAGCAAAAAAGAACAAGTGAGCAATAGTGAGCAAGTGAGCAAAAAAGAACAAGTGAGCAATAAAGAACAATTCGAGAGGAACATGWTCAGTTGCTCAGTTTAGTGAACAACTCTTTTTTGTTCACTCACTCATGAGCAACCCAACACTAATTTCTACACATCAAACGGCATTGGTCAATGCAAAATTACCGTTATTGCTGTTGAATTATGTATTTAGAGCGCAGAAATTAATAATGGAGATTGGCCAATTGAGCGCGTTTGCCATTTGTCCAGTGCAAACAAAACGAATTCGATCAGATGTCCGAACACTTGCAATTAAATGTCAAAATAACAAACACTTATAGGGAGCGGAAAATCGTAACGGTCGCGCTGCCAAGGGGTCAACTGGCCAACGGGTGGGCGGACGCGTTTAATTAATGAAATCATTTTCAAATCAAGCGCGCATTTAATCAAAGCGCCCCGTTCAAGCGAATGCTATTTGTCTGTCTCTCCGTCCACCCGTCCGCCAGTCCGTCAGTTCGTCTGTTCGGTGGCCCCCTCCCCTTCGTCCGCTGCGCGTCATTTGTTTTGTCCTTAGCTTAGATCTGATCCGTCCCCTGCCCACGCAACGTCTGCCTCAGCCCGCTTTGCGGTCGGCATTTGCTAAATGGAGCATTCCAAAGTGTTGCCCGCCTACAAATCGCTGCCACAATAATGCGCCCGAAGTCCGGCGCACGCAGGATGCGATGGCCAATGGACGTAATGATAGCGCTTCCTGCCACAATTGCTGCCGACTGCCTCATGCCTCATGCCCCATGCCTCCTGCTTTCGCTCCCGCACTTGCTCCTGGCCCTTGCCCGACTCCTGTTGCTGCTGTTCATTGTTCGCCTCATTATCCGTTTATTGTGGCGTTTGTTGCTCTCGCTACTGTCCGTTATTATTTATAGAATTGACATATAATCTCTGGTTGCATTTAATGGGCGCCCATGTTCCTTTGGCTGCGTCCTCGACCAGCCAATTCCGAGTTAATTAATTGCATCAATCAACATTTTAATAACCTGCTCTATCTCCGGCGCCCGCTCTCTTCATCTTCCTCTCCCTTCCACTCCCACTGCCACTCTCTCTCTCTCTCTCTCTCTCACTTCTTCCCCTCTTTGAGTTGGACATCTGTGTTTCATCTCGAAAGTCAACTAGACTTAACTTCTGTCAT